ATGTGTTGAGAGGTGCTTTACACTCCTGGGTACTCTGGTTGCATTCTTCATTGGTTGCCGATGAGCTGCACACGTAGCACTTCAGTGGCAGCGCTGCAGATGTGAGAAACAACAAAAACTGAAACTTGATTGAAAGGCAGATTTCTTTTTCTACTGGTTTGAGGACTAGTAATGTTTCTGTCAATCAGGCGTTACTGTGAAGGGCAGTTGAGTACGGTTCTGGTGTTAATCCATAAACCTGCTGTGGGAATTAAATGGTGAAGGGCATTAGAGTTAAACGTCTGAAACTAGTGAATTATTAATCAAGATAAATCAGCGGAGACTAACACTGGTATTTACCGCATGTCCTTCAGCAACACAGCCGGCCAACCTGATTACAAACTTCTCTTATTTCTGGGTAAAGGTGACATTGTTGACGGAGAAAAAACAGACGTCTGGAAACAACAGCGTGAGATACTTGTTTTTCATAAGGAGAAGGCTTGAAACTCATCACTGCACGCTCGTAAGTTATTCGTCATCCTGGCAATTTCAGTATATATATGTATATGTATTTTTCAGATTTACTGAACTGTCACCCTATCTTTGAAAAAAAAAATTCCCATGACCTTTGACCTACAGTTCGAGCAGTCAGATGTTTATTACGTACCTGGAGAAAAGAGCAGGAAGAAGATCCCAAGCACAAGCAGCATCTTCCTAACTGGTGTTGAACTGTTCCCGACCAGAATGTCTGCAGTTAAAGCTGTCGTGCCAAAAAGCGTGTGTGTGTGTGTGTGTGGTGAAACTGTTCCACCCACATTAACACCATCATTACAAACAGGAAGCATTTAATAAAAGTTACTGTTTGTTGCTGTGTGGGTTAGGGTTGGTGTTTTTGCTGGTTTCACAGATACTTGCTCTGTTTATCTTCTTTATCTTTCTCTTGTTAATCACAGACACCAACTTAACATCAGGCAGTGAAACTTTGTCTCTGCTGGCTGAGGCATAGTTTAAGTACAGTCTGAGGATTTGTTGGCTTTTTTTCCTTCACCAAGAGGAAACTCTCATTTCTCTTGAACAATCACCTCTATCAAACTATGGAAAAGGACAAACGGTTGAAACAACCTAATGTAAATATAAGCTCCTAATAAGTTAATGAGTGAAGGTGTGGTTACATTGAAACCACAATTTTAGAAATAGCACATAATTCAGAATACATTACCCACAATTGTTTGGCTTTCTTCTAAATCCTGCAAACTCTTTCAAAGTTTAATCTATAAACATATCAGTTCTTACCACTAAGGAAAAACAGCACACTAGTATTCCTGTGGATTTTTTAAATAAAACTAAAAATGGCAATATGCAGTACTGCTATCATTTCTTTACATTTTAATAGGTATAATGATGAAACATAATATAGGACCTACAGAGCTCTTCTTTGGCTGTTGGCTGCCTTTTGTTCTATTCTCTGTCAAAATGATTCCACGCTGCTTCAATGATGTTGCAGTTCGGGTGTTTCACTGTGGGTTTTTCTATCAGGTATGTTTTTACTGCATTAACAGTGTGTTTGGAATCATCATCATGACGAACAATGAAGATGTTGCCAATCAGATGGTTTCCAGATGGTATTACATAGTGCAGCGGTCCCCAACCCCCGGGCCTCGGACCGGTACCAGGCCGCGAGAGTTGAGGCTCAGGTGTGAAATGTATGGTTTTCAGGGTTTTTATCAGTTTTCAGCGTTATTTTGTTATCATTTTTATCGTTAACTCTGTTTTCCTGGGTCTTTTCACATGTGTTATGAATAAATCTTCTTTTTTTCGGTACCGGTACTAGTTTTATTTTGTTGTATTTATCCGCGACACCTTAAAGGCCGGTCCGTGAAAATATTGTCGGGCATAAACCGGTCCGTGGCGCAAAAAAGGTTGGGGACCGCTGACATAGTGGATCAAAATCTGATGGTACCTTTCTGTGTTCATAATCGTGTGTTGAGTGGCTTGAAAATGGTCAGGAACAAGGACTGGACTGAAGGTGAGTAAAAAAGCCGTGAGGAGCTTCAGAAGGGCTGGAGAACTCTAGTTTAAGACAACTCAACAGGAAATCAATAGACCTGGAGACCAGTGATAGACATTAGATCAGCTGACTTGGAACGCAGTTTTTTTCCGCCCTAAACCAAACCCAAACCTGTCTTCACGTGGCCTCCCCTCACCAGCTGGGAGCTCCAGGGCCAAAGATGCAACAACAAATTCTCAGAGATTACAAGACGGTGCATGACTCGCTGCTCTATCCTCCTACTTCCTCAAGATCACCTGTGTCGGCTTGGGGATTGTTAACTTTTGCTTAAAACTAGGTTAAAGGGCACTCTCTCTTGAGTTGGATACAGGATACACACACGCACACTTACACATGTACTCAGACACAGATATACAGTCCCGTGTTTTGATTTTTATAATGTAAGGTGTGAAGATTCATGTGGTTCATTGTGCTGAGTGGGTTTTTTTTCCTGTTCTCAAACTGCTCTCCCATTAGGAGCTCAGTGTGGGTGGAGTTCTTTTTTTCCCTCCTCTTCCCTCATATATTGTGTATTTCATTGTTTTTCTTACCATCCTACCTCACTCTGACCTGTCTTACCAACGTCATGTTTGCACAATGTAAGTACGGTCGGAAGGGGTCCTAGTTTACCGCATGTACGTGTAACATTGATAGTGGCGACTAAAGGGCTTAATCAGTCAATTTACATTTACAATTCCAGTTTATTTGAAACAAAACAAAACAATGAACAGGCAGAGTGCATTACTAAAACATAAAAAAACAGCAATTTTGAAGTAAATGTTTGTGTTCAAGCAGTTCAGTCAGAAATCAGCACTGAGTTTAATGCCGCAGGCCTGCGAGCACAGTAAAAATCTTCAGATGGACTGACAGTGCCGTGTGAAAAGTAATAGACATCTTTTAATGAAGCAGATGTGCTGTATGCTTTTATCTTTTATATTTCTTTTTATGTGCTAATTTGACAAAAATAGTCTTTTTCAAATCGGTTTGCAGTAAACTGACAGGAAAACTAACTCAGCATGTACAACTTGATAGTGAATAGAAAGACTTTATCTCATGCCATTTAAGATGAACAAAAGAAGCATCACTGGAGGTGATAGAGTGCCCTATGATGCATTGGACTTGACCTCTAACACAGACCAATCAGCATCCAGGGTGTGGCTAAAACACAGCATCATGCTTCAAATAAAAAAAAGCCAAACATTGCAGATCGATTCTTCTCATTGTTGTTTTAAAGATAGATTGTGTGTTGATAAGGAAAATAATGTTTACAGTTTGTGGGAAAATGTGCAAAAAGAAGTCCACATCTCACCGTGTAGCAGTTTAAATGATCCAGTTCTCTGTATTTTACCCCATTGTTTCCATATTGTGATTGAAGCTGTATTATGTAGTTTGATTAATATGTTTCCAGAATTTGGTGCCTCCTAGCGGCCCAGCTGGCAGGGACTTTCTCCGATGGCATATGAGGCGGGGTTAACAGGCACTGCATTCTGCAGAAAGTTGGCTTTTAATGAGGAGAGATAAAAGGCTAAAATAACCTGTTTGAGAATAAAATTGAGCTGATTTGGGACAATGTGTCCCTACAAGATACATAAAGATTCTTCTGAACTGTGAATCATGTGAAGCTCAGTGACAGAAAGACTAATTGTTGAATCACCGAGTTGAAGGATTAATCCTTCGCAGCGTACCCAAACACTCCAGCTCCCTCGTGTTTGTATAAAGAGAAGGATCCGGCAAATAAATCCACGTTACAAGCGCTGATGTGATGCTGCAGAAATCATTTGTGAAAGGTCACCCAGCATAAAATGTACAGCGAAGATGTTGATAGATGAAGGAGCCGAGTCAAAGCAGCAGTCAAGGGGAAGCTTCATCAATGCCAAGCAAAAAGCAGCAGCAGCGCCGCGAATATGCAGCAGTGCAGAGTCTGAATCGGTCAGGAGCTGCTGTGGCACACATGTGGGCATGTGTCCTGCCTGTTTTACATCCCCAAGGCTCATTAGTTCACTTCTGGTTGTTTTTTTTTGAGCTGATCTTTTGAGTTCTGAAAAGATGAGCTTGTCCTCTCCTCACTGAGTCTTCACTTTCTTGGTGTGAGGGACGGGCTCTCGTTTTCTGGGTTTGGAGGCGAAACGGCTGGTGCAGACATGAGTGAGACAAAAGCAAGAGAGTACTGCTGTTATGTTGGAAATACAAATTGATTTGTGAGTATAGATGTACACAAACAGAAAAGAAGAAAGGCTCAAGAGTGTCTAAAACGTCAGAATATGGCTTGTACTTGAAAATAATACGACTTAAAGTCACTGGGATTATCTTGAATATGAGTATGCATATTGTTGTAGTATTTGAATGTCGTGTTGATTATCTGTATTTGTGACGTACAATCAGCAAAGCAGCTGTACTGGAGTATCTACAATATACTCAACCTGACTCTAGGCAAATCTAGGAACAAGGCCTTGATGAATCATCTAACAAGGAGGCGAGGCATGACAGAAGTTGCTCACTTAATCTGTCTCTATCATCATCGCATCTCTGTTACTATACCAACCATAAAGTCATTGGACCAAACAGGAAGCACTCTGTTTCACACAGGAACAGGTTTGTTTAGGCTGCGTACTACCTGAGTGCAAGGAATCCTTTTCTGGTCACTCAGCAAGGGCGTGAAAACTATCGACACTGCCGAAATCAAAACACAGCTGGGTGTCCTCTTAGTGGTAAAATGAATAGCACTATGAAAACTAAATGAAACCAGAATACTTACAGGGTGCTTCATAAATAAAGATAAAACGTTCTAAAACTTGTTTTTTAAAAAGTACTTTGATATACTCTCACCAGCCAGTTTGTTAGGTACGCCTGTTCAACTGCCTGTTAATACAAATATCTAATCAGCCATCACATGGCAGCAACTCAATGCAATTTAAGCACTTAGACACGGTCCAGATGACCTGCTGAAGTTCAATGGGGAAGAAAGATGATTTGACTTTGAACGTGACGTGGTTGTTGGCCCGGTCTGAGTATTTCAGGAACTGTTGATCATCTTAGACAAACATCTCTAAAGAGAAAATATCCAGTGAGCAGCAGTTCTCAAGACAAAGTGTCTTGTTGAGGTCAGAGGACAGTGGGGAACAGTCAGACTGCTTTGAGCTGATAGAAAAGCAAAAGCAACTCAAATAATCACTCATTACAACCAAGGTATGCAGAAGAGCATCTCTGCACACATGGCATGTTGAACCTTGAAGGAGATGGGCTACGGCAGCAGAAGATCACATTAGGTGCAACTAATGTTAGCTAAGAACAGGAAACTGAGGTTAGAGTCTACCTGGGTTCATCGAAACACTGCAGCCTACCTGAGTACTGTGGCTGACAACATTCACTTCACTTCAATTTGCTTTATTCAGCACCACATCACAACAACAGTTGCCTCAAGGTGCTTTATTTTTTTAAGGTAAAGACCGTACAACAATTCAAAGAAAACAGAGAAAACCCCAATTATCATATGACCTCCTAAATCCCTCTATGACCACACTGTAACATGCACCATGTCACAAAAATCCAATCTTGTCTAACTCAGTTCCCTGTACTCAAATGAGCTCCACAATTACCAGATTTTAATCCAGTAGATCACCTTTGGGTTGTGGTTTAATGGGAGATTCACATCAAGGATGTGCAGCCGACATATCTGCAGCAAATCTGTGGTGCTATCATATCAATATTGACCGAAATATCACATTAATGTTCCCAGCACTTAATGAATTTGTGCCATAAAGAATTTAGACAGCTCTGAAGGAAAAAGAGGGTAAAACAACGTAATAGCAAAGTGTAACTAATAAAGAGGCCAGTGAGTGTTTTTGCTCCATGTGTGTTTGGGACTGTGGTATTGTTTTTGGGCTCATCGTACCTTCGCTGGTAGAGGTAGAGAAAGAAGAGAAGCTCATCTCTGAAGCAGGAAAGTTGATGCGAGGAAGAGAAGGATCCAGAGGAGGAAAAAAAGCAGGCACAGGAGCACAGATCTGAAATCAGCGTGTTGACTCCCTGTTGGAGACGAGAGAGGATAGCTGACCGAACTGAATCGCTTTAACACCAAACGCAGCACAAAGGAAACCTGCTGATGCTGCTTGTGAATGAGCTCAAGAAATACTCACCCTGTACATCAACACTGTCCCCTGCAGGTGACTCACAGACTTCAGCTGTCCCACAGTAGAAAGTGAACAAACAAGGGAGGGGGGAGGAGGTTTGGTTTGTTTTAATTTTTAACGTACAAATTTTAGCCAAAGAAAATATTTCTGAAGTATTGCTGTTTAGCTGCCACACAAACCTTGTGGTTAATGTAGAGCTGAGGGGCCATAGACAGGAAGCCAAAGGCGTACACTCCTGAGACGAGGAGGCAGGTATTATAAATACAAAAGTAAATAATAGTAAAACTCAAAGTCAAATGTATCTATATAGAACATTTAAAACAACAACTCTTGACCAAGGTTCTGTAAATGTAAGATAAACAAAAGAGATAAAAACATAGGAAGAGATGATAAAATTTAAGAAACGGGGAACAAAATGAGGAGATTTGAGACAAATAAAAGTGGTGCAAACTCATCTGATTTAAAGCCAAGGAATAAAAGTGGGTTTTCAGATGGGTTTTGAAAGTGTCTAATGTTGGGGAGGTCCTGATGTGAAGCGGCAGTTTGTTCCGCAGTTTAGGAGCAGTCACAGCAAAGGCCCGGTCTCCTCTGTGCTTTAATCGGGACCTCGGGACAGCTAGGATCATTTGATCAGCAGACCTCAGTGATCTTGCAGGAGTGTGCCAATTCAAAAGATGAGAAAGGTATGAGGGTGCTAACCGCCTTAAAAACAAATAAAATAAATTCAAAAACGAACTGGCAGCCAGTGTGAGGATGCTAGTATGAGAGATATGTAGTCCTGCAACTGCAGGTCTTAATGCTCACTTCCGATTTTTTTGATCAAATCCGATTTTTTTGTCTGCTTGTTCACACTACAAATAAAATGC